TCCCTTATTGTACTCTGTAATCCAATTGCCGATATCTCACTCTGTCAATTAGAATTTGGACTTCGTTTCATCAATCATCAAGTATCACCGGTTGCTATTGACGGCCAATTAACCCTAGTTGGAGGTATGGTTTTTTTTTTTGTAGTTTTGGTTTCTGTTTCATTCCGATCTATTATTTCGTTTTTATTGAGATAAACACGTACGAATTAGAATTAAACATTTTTTTGTTAAAGTTCATGTAGTTCGTCGGAGATAAGCACTTCAAAATCAATTGTTCCATGTGAATCTTTATCTGCTTACAGTGTGTTGTACAACCTTTTCATTTTAAAGTTTAGGTGATACGGAGATAAGTACTTCTGCACCTTGTTGTTTCATCTTCATCATAATCATTATCATAGTCATTATTATATTTTGAGTGAAATACAAAAATGGTCCTTACTTCAAATAGTGGTTTCAGACTTTTAGTACTAGCAAGTTGTATACTCTACATATGGAATATTAAAGCACTTCAAAATCAATTGTGCATCTGCCAAGAGTGATAGATAACTTTGACTAGGATGTATGGTCGTTTATTGATGAACTTAATCTCGCCCCTTCTAATGTTCTAGAAGCATTAAATCAGTTTGTGTATTTTATACAATTCCAATTCTATCGGAATGTAATCACGAATTCAAATTCTATCGGAATGGAAACACTAATTCTAATTCTGTTGGAATGGAATATGGATATTTTCTCATTGATTATACATGTTCTACAATTTTTGGTTATTGGTTTTGGTGCAGTTAAAAAGTCCGCATATTTTTCCAAAGGAATATAGTTTTTTATTTATCATTTGCTAATGTGTTATTGGATTCTAAACTACAATTGGATTTGTTTTCACAGAAGTTGATGCTCGAAGAAGTTGATGCTTGAAGAAGTTTATGCTTGAAGAACTGACAACGAAATTGAAAGTGTTTCTTACCAACATTATTCTTTTAGAATGAATTAGTGTATTTTGTTAGATTTTGATGTTTTTTTTCTAGATTTGAAAATTTTTAGTTTTATTTTTTAACAATAAATGTAATTCTTAGCAATTGTTACATGTATTCTATAAGAATTAATGTATTTTTTGTTTTAATTCTTCAATTGATGGTTCGAGAATTTTGTTATTCTAAAGAAATGTTTAAAGTCATGGTCAAGAAATATGTTCAAGAATATTTTTATTATTTTATGGTTCAAGAATATTTTTATTTTTGAACATACTCAAACATATTCTGTCAGAATGTCCGAATTAAAAACCTTATAATTCGTAAAATCGGTTTTTTATAATTAATAGAATCTATGATACCTTAAAATATGCAAATTTCCTTTATTAAATCTATATTAATTGACTAAAATACCATTCTAGTTAAATTAGATGGTATTTTTCAATTATATTTAATTCAATAATATGTATTAATCACTTTCTTAAA